CCTGCCGCTCATTTTACCTACAGTTTTAAGCGGCCAACTTTCCTTTCTCATGTTTAACCTGGAGGGGGTGCAACAGTTGCTCCACACCAGCTGCTCGGGGTCCCCCTCACGTGCTTTCTCGCGCACAGCCCAGGGGTAGAGTAGCACGCGGGCCACAGGCACAAACATCCCACGCACGCCAGGGACACACGTGGACTGAACACAAGCCCCACGCTGTGACGTGACCCACGTGGACTTGCCCCTCAGCTTCTGCAAATGCAGAGCCACCGAAGGCGTCTAAATGCCACACCACGTGCCACGTCCCGCACAGGCCTCTGTTCCTGTCGCCAACATTCTCATTAACGTTCAAAAACTTCCAAAAGAAAAGCGAGTCGGGCTCAGGGAGGAAAGTGGAGGCCTGGCAGAAACACGTTCACGTGTCAGGCTTCCGAGAGTGACAACTCTGGAAAAAAATAAACAAAACAAAGCATCGCCTCACGGTGATCCCTCCCCCTCGAGGAGGCGCCCTGGGCTCTCTCCTTGGCGTCCTCCCTCTGGCAGACACTGCCCGTTTTTGACCTTGGAAAGCAGCTCCGAGGGTCTGGTTTTGAACTCAAGAAAACACCAGCTTCACAAAATAAGCTGCGCTGTGACCTTCTCTATTTTCTGGGAGGGACCGTGCCGTGCAGACTTCGTGTTGATTCCTCTCTACGCGTCTGGTAGGATCCCCGGGGCCTCCGTCTGCGCTTAACTACCCGCCCGCTGCAGGGCACCTGGCTGGCTCCCAGGTCTCGGGCATCGCAGGCTCGGGGCCCGATACAGAAACTGCCAGGGCCGACCCACCGCAGAAGCTGCCAGGCCCCGGGGAAGCTCCAGGACAGTGGTCAGCGTCCAGCACACGAGGAGCCAGGACAGGTCAGGTGACCAGGCTGGGGGCCAGGGCTGCCCATGACTCACAGTCACCGGCCGAGGCCACGGGGACCTTCCCAGGAACGCTCGCTCGGGGGACACACGGCCGCACCCGACGCAGGCGGAGACGCTGTGCCGATGCCAACCCCGCGGGCTGCACGGCCGTCCCTCACCTCCCCGGCCACAGCCACCCTCATTTCCGCGGCTGGACACGCGACTCAGGCGAGGACGGCGCCCGGAGCGGAGAGGGGGCGGGTTCCTTACCGTGCGATGCTTTGTAGAGACGGCTGGCGCCGCTCCTCTGCGGCCCGGTCGGGCTGAACGCGGGGTAATGCGGAGGCGTGGTCGCTGGAAAAGAGCAGAGCGAGCGGCTGCCCCCCGTGTCCCCTGGAGGCGGGACGGGGGCGTGCGGGGCGTGCTTCGCTGCGTCCTTACCATACGGCGTCGGCGGAGACACGGGGAAGGAGGGCGTGGGCGGCCCGGACTCGCTGCCGTTCTTACTCGGAGAGAAGACCCTGCCGTCAACCCCGTCGAGGTGTGGGGGATACGCGGCAATCACCGTCTGGAAGCGACACGGCGGGGCGGGGTCAGGGGTCGGCCGCCCCGGGGTCGGCCGCAGCTGAGCGTGGGGATGGGAAGGCCGGGCTCCCCACCCACAGCACGGGACCCGCGGTGGGCGCGACAGGCTGCAGTGAGAAGTGGGTAAAACCGCCCCGCCACTCAGACGGGCAGAGAAGGCGGGGGGCGCACCCCAACGCTCGCCTCGGGGGAGCTGGCGTGTTACGACTACGTGACTCCTTTCTGATCTATTCTGGGCCCTACCTTCCCCACCTCGAGAAGAAGTGAGACCCTGGTTTGAAGGGTTACTGGCTTGGGGCTTTGACGACCTGTCTTCCTTCTGCTCCGGTTAAAATCCGTAACCATGCCTCTCGGCAGGCGCTCTGTGACATCCCTCGGGTCCTGCGTCCACGTGGACGCCTGTGTCCTGCTTCCCTCTGTGGCTCCTGAAGACCAGGGGAGGGGGTCTGGGCCACTCGATGACTTCGGGGGAGTCTGTCCACCTTCGCTGCTGCCAACCACCCACTGACCTCCTCCTGGTGACCCCCAAGCTCACAGCCCGTCCACAGCGTCACTCCTCAGCCCCACATGCGGCCAGAGCAGAGGCCGAGGGGCCGGAGTCTCCCCCGACCGGGCAGCCAGCACGCCCGGCCCCCCCGGCTCCCCTCTGCACACCTGACACTCAGGAGGAGCCCTGCCTGGGGGACAGGCGGGTAAGGGGGGACCTGCAGTCAGGCCGGGGCTCCGGGCGGGGCGGTGTCTGTACCTCTTTGGCGTCTGCGGGAGCCAGGAAAGGCGCCAGGCTCGGAGCCTGCTCCGCACCCGCGGGCTTCCCCCACCCGCACTTGGAGAAGGCCGGCTGCCCCCCGGCGTCACTGTCGTACTGACCGACGCTCAGCTTCCGGAACCTTCTGCCCAGCGGCTCATCCCCCGAGGAGCCTGCGAGGAGAGACACGGGGCTGCAGGCGCTGTCTTCACTGTGGGGCCGACACCCCCGATTTCCAGTCGCCTCCTGTTCCCCCGGCGGCGCCGGGAGGGGGCCTGTCCGTCTGCCCCCCCCCGAGTCGGCCATGCAGCCTGCACACAGTAGGTGCTCAGGAAACCCGAGGAGAAGGGGCAGCGACCCAGTGGACCCTGGTCCCCCCACCGAGGCGGCAGGAAAGACTCCTGGTGGTCACACGGGAAAGAGGCCAGGGCTGCCCTGAGGGAGCAAGTGCCCGGGACTCGACGCTCGGAGGCCCGTCGCCCCCTTTCCCATCAGGGCGTCAGGGGCCCACGTGGGGGTCGGAGGCTTGTGTTCCGCTTTCTGACCACAAGGAAGTCGCGACTCCTGACACCAGACGCCTCCACGCACACAGCGGCCCCCACACCGAGGGGCCCTTCCTCTGCACCCCTCTCACTGCACCTCCCTGATCCCGCCGCCCCCACCGATTTCCAATCTGCCCGGTCGCTCCGGTTCCTGGCCACGCAGACCTGCTGACCGCACACAGCGCCCGAGACGCTGCTTATGTCAGCCCTGGTGGGCGCTGGCCGCTCAGGGCACACGCGAGGCTGCCGCGGAGGGACGGGGAGCCCGGGGCGTCCTCGGACTCGTGGGGAGCCCGGGCAGCCACCTGGAGACCAGCCGCACCCCCAGCCAGCCCCTGTCCACAGCCCCGGGTGCGGCGGACACAGCGGAGCCCCAGGGACCGTGAGCCCCGGGGCTGTGTGCGAGGACCTGGGCACCCCGGTCAGGGACAGGGGCTCCGACGGTCACCCCAGGGACAGGGGCTCCGACGGTCACCCCAGCTGCAGAGGCCCCAGGCCAGGTTACGGACTACGAGCGACAGCTTCCATCTTAACAAGGAGAAGTTCCGGAGGTAAAGAGCTTAATCTAATCACAGCAAAAACCACCACAGTGTTTATTCCACACCGATCCCCAGGCCTCCTGACCTCAGCACATTCAGACCAACGCACGTTTCTCCAAAGAGAGTGGAGATGGGGGGAGTCCAGAGGGACGTGACCAGCCCGCTCTCCCGGCTCAGTGTTCCCAGGACGAGTTAAGAGTCACTTCTCCCTCCAAAACGATGGATCTCTGTCCCCCCCACCTGCGGGCCGTGTTCTCCAAGACCTGGGGGGCTTTCGTAAAAAAAATCTTAAGCCGAGTGCCGACCTACACCCAAGGCCTCAGGGGACAGTGTGTGGCAGCCGGGCCTCCCGGTCCCTGACCCCAGCGTCCGGGACCATGATGGGGAAAGCCCAGGTGAGGACGCCTACCTCTTGGATCACAAAACAGAGCTTCCTTCCCCGAGAAACACCGAAGGGCTTCGCTAGGTGGTGGGGGCAGGATGGGTCTGAAAGGCCAGGGGGTCGGTCTGGCCTCCCAGCAGAAGTTTTAGCAATGCTCCAATTCTACTCAAAATTAACCGTAATTCAAAGCGTAGACGTAAAAAACCACACAGGTGACTCCCGCTGGGACACCGCTGGCAGGGGCGGGTGCCTGGTTCCCGGTTCTGAATGTCTTTCCTTTTTATTATTACCCCCTGGCACCCCCATCACTGGATCTTCCTGGCCTTCTCCTCGAACATGTCATCTTTGAGGAACTACAGCGTTTCCACAAAGCGACTCAGGATGGTCCCCAGGACTGTCCACCTTTGGGGCCACCTCCTGCTTGTTTCCATGCCTAGGAACGCGAGGGAGTTTCCAGAACCCGCCACGCAGGCCCATGTGACGCAGGCGGGTGCACACAGCTTTCGGATGGAAGCCGGGAGTCGTGGTTCCCGGGCCTGTCCCTGCCGCCCTTGTCCTGACCTCTGCCCACTGCCCACTGCCCACCCCCGATTAGATGAGTGAGCAGTGCTCCCCGACGGTCCCTAAAGGAGCTCCTCTGTGCGGACCAGCCGGTGTCCACCCCGGACATGGCTTCTGGAAACAGGCCACCCACACAGAGGCTGCGTCCTCAAAGCAGAGTCTCACACATCCGGGGTGGGGGGGGGGCCCCTGGGCCACTTTAACAAAGACCTGCTGTGGGGCCCAGCAGCCCCGCTCCTGGGTCTACGCTCCAAAGCATTGAAAACATGTGTCCAAACAAACAGTGTGCACCAGTGTCCACAGCAGCACGATTCCGTCACCAGGAGGCGGAAACAACTCGACTGTCCGCCAACAAGGAGCGGACAACCCCCTCAATGTGGCCTATTCACACGGTGGAATATTACTCAGCCCTAAACAAGCACACGGCTCTGACATGAGACGATGCGGGAAAGCCTGGAAAACATGACGCTCGGCCCAGCCAGCGTGGTTAAGTATCGTCCCGGGAACCAAGAGGTCGCCGGTTTGATTCCCGGTCAGGGCACATGCCCGGGTTGCCGGCTTGATCCCCAGTAGGGGGCGTGCAGGAGGCAGCCGGTCAATGATGTCTCTCCTGTTGATGTTTCTCTCTCTCCCTCTCTCTTCCTCTCTCTCTAAAATCAATAAAAGCATATTTAAAAAAACACACACACGCTGCCCAGTGACAGATTTAGACCTGGCCGGCTCTGCCCACACCGAGGCCGAGAGCCACGCTTTTCCTTCCAGCCTTTTGCCGCTTGGGGTCAGCTGTGGCACCAGCTTCTGGCCAGAAGGTCATCTCCAGATTTCACAAAGGTCTCTGAAGATCCGTATCCACTTTGCTAACACGGAACCTGCTGACATCACCATGGTTCTAAAAGCGTGGAAAACCCCACCGAAGGCCTGAGGTTCCTGCCAAAGATGAAAGCAACGGACTAAAAGGCACTTTAAGTTGCAGGATGACAACCACCAGTGAGCTACGCCGGTTCACCGCCGAAATTCAAGTCCTTTCACTTCAAGATGCCACTGAATTACCTTCATGATAAAAGGAACTGGAGAGCATCTCAAAGCAAAATAAAAAATTCCAGTATCTGCCCTGGCAGGTGGCCCAGTTGGTTGGGCACTGTCTTGTGCACCAAACGGTGGCAGGTTCGATTCCCAGTCAGGGCACATGCCTGAGTTTCGGGTTCGATCCCCGGTTGGGGCACATGCAGGAGGCAGCCGATCAGTGTTTCTCTCTCACATCAATGTTTCTCTCCCCCCGCCCCCTCCTCTTTCTAAAAATCAATAATTAAAAAAAAATCTTTAAAAAAATTCCAGAAACTAAAGCTGTGAGTTTCCCAAACAATTTAATCACGATCCCTGGAGGGGGCAGCACAGGACGTGGCCTTACAGCACCTCTCCGTCTGTTATCACAAGAATTAGGAATCACTAGGGACCGAGTTCCATCAGCCGACTACACACAAACCTAAAGCCACCAGATGGTCCCCGGGCCCTGAGCTCCTTCCCCTCACATCCACTCAGACACCTCCAACTGCCCCCAAACTCATCCAGCAGAAACACTGCCGATCGTAACGTTTACAAGCAGTTTCTCTGAGGTCGGCTTGGTGAGGTGCGCGGGCCACGTGCTAGGAGAGTTTTGCTCCCATTGAAACCTCTTTTAACGCCTAATTTCCTGGCTGTGTTTGGGCTCACGCAGCCGGGAGCCAGCTGTGCCCAGACACAGGCTCAGACCGACGCGGGGGGCGAAGGGGGGGCTGGCCTCCAACGTCCCCACACTCTCAGCCCCAGGGTGGCCCCTGGTACCGTCCCTGACTGATCAGGCACACGGGCTCCACAGCCACAGACCTCAGCAGCCTGGACACCTGGCCTGGCCCCGGCCTCCCTGGGTGGGACCTTCCAGGAGCACATTCTTCCTGCGGCCTTCACACACCGTCCCCTGCCCCGCAGGCCCCGTCACAGCACCCGCTGCCCACGGGACAGCAGCCCAGGGCCACCCGGCCAGCTCCCCAGGCCCCACAGCCTCATGGCTCCCAGAGACAGAGCATGTCACAGACCCGATCCCAACACGCGCCCCACACTCACGCCACCCTACACCCCGAGGTCACCACCACCTGTCCCACGGCTGGAAGTCACTGCCTGCCCACCACAGCCACCTCGCCCTTCCCACGACGGGCAGGTGGGCAGGAGGCCCGACCGGTCCTCCCACCACCACATCCCAGGGACACGGGCCCGCGCAGGCCGCCTCCGAGTCCGCGAGGCACCCACCGGGCTGCACCTCTCCCGTGCTGGGCCTGGAGCCTCACGGCCTCCACACTCCTCACCCTCCACCCGCTGGCAAGACCGTCTGCCCCACGCTCAGCAACGGCTCCCTGCGTGGCCAGCTCAGGGGCCTCTCACACCAGGACCGTGCAGTGGCCTCCCTGACACAGGCCGTGCTCCCCACTCCTCCACCGGGCCAGTGAGGACCGCACTCCCCGTAAGGCTCTGCCACACGACACGGACGCAGTAACTGCGCACCCCTGAAACGCCAGCTCACCTTGCTGCGCGGGGGCTCGGCTGGGGTCCTCTCCTCTGTCCTGCAGGCGGCCGCTGCCCCGGGGCCCGTTCCCCATGCCATCCGGGGCAGTGGGGCCGTTGGCTGGGCTGCCCAGCTTGTTCATGTGGGTGGGGAGGGGCTCGAAGGTGGGGTCCAGCTCCAAGATCAGCCTGTTGAGCTGCTCAATGGACTGGTCGATGTCCAGGGTGGGCGAGCCCGGGGAGGGGTCCGGGCTGGGCTCCGGGCCTGTCCCGTTCATGACGTTGCTGTCCGGGAACCTGGCTTTGAACCCTTTGCCGGGAGGGGGCCGCTGGGTGTCAGGGGGATGTGGCCCGGGGCCGACGCCCCTCTGCACGGCCACTCTGCTGTTGGCCCCCCGGGCGGGGGTGACTGGGCCCCGGGGCTGGGCCTGCGCCGCGCAGGAACCGTCTGCTGGGCCGCGGCCCACGAGCCGGGCCTCCCCGTCCGAGGCGAAGCTGTACTGCCGGGCAGCCACCATCTGCTGCTGGCGCACCCAGGTCTGCGTGGAGTAGCCGCTCTGCCCGTAGGCCTGGGCCTGGGCGGACACGCAGGGCGCCCCAAGCTCGGGCTGCGGCTGTGGAGGCTCCCGGCTCCCGAAAGCCTCCCGCTCATACAGCGGCTCTACGCCCAGGCCCAGGTCGGGGACGAGGGCGCCGTGCTGGTCGTCCCCGGCGCTGCTCCCAAACCCGTCGGACAGGAGCGAGTTGTGGCTGCTCTGGTGGCAGGCGAAGGGGCCCAGGTGGGCGGGCGGGTGCCCCTCGGAGGAGGACAGGGTCCCGATGCTGTCCACGCTGTGCAGGTCGTGGCTGGGCATCTCATCGTCCAGGATGTCCGTCTCCCGGTCCTTGGGCGTGGCGTCTCCGTTCACGTGGACCTGGGCCGGCACGACGTGGCGCGTCCCACTAAACTTGCTGCAGGCATCAGTCATATCCTTGAGGGGGCTTCCGGAATCTTCTAGGCCAAAGCCACTGAGCAGCTGATCCAACTCGGCCTTCTCCTGGGGGCTCAGGCCCCTCTTGGATCCCGGAGCCAGGTGCTCCTCGGTCCTGTCTGTCCTCACCGAGGCCGTGGAGTGGCCCGAGTCGCTGCTGACCGACAGGGTGTGGTCGCCGTGGTCTGGGCTGCTGGTGGCGGGGACAGCTGGGGCCCCTCCCGGGACACCGGGATCCGAGGCACTTTTTTTCCTCACCTTGGCGTAGAGACTGCCGTCCACGGGGCCCTGCGTGTGCAGCACTGGTGGGGAGAGAACGGGAGAGGGCGGTCAGTCAAGGGTGAGGGGTGAGGGCCCCTGGAATGGTGTGGACGTGTGTCCAAACAAATTAATAAATAAGTTCCTAATAGACGACTCACAGTAACCAGGGACAAATGCTCCTCTAGGACCCTCTAACTCTGTGTGCCCGGATGCCACCAAAAAGCAACTCGAGTGATCAGCTTCAGGCCCCCCCCTTTTAATTTTAAATATATATATATATTTATTTTTCGAGAGGAAGGGAGAAGGAGAGATAGAAACATCATCCATCGGCTGCCTCCTGCAAGCCCCCTACTGGGGATCGAGCCCGAAACCCAGGCATGTGCCCTGACCGGGAATCGAACCCGTGACCTCTTGGTTTATGGGTTGACACCCAACCACTGAGCCACACTGGCCAGGAACTACCTTTTATGGAGAGATGGTCGTTCAAAGTCACCTGCCTGGAGGGCTCACTGTTAATTTCATCATCAGTTGGAATGTTGAACTCAGTTCAGCTCAGCTCGTAAATCCCCAAGATCAAGAATGAACAGTGCCCGTAAGACCAGGCAGGCTTCCCTCCCCACACCTGTCAGCATCCACGGAGCCGGGCGGCAGACTCTGAACAGGCAGAACAACACTCTGAGACCCGCTCAAATCTAAGTATGTCACCCGATGGAAAGAGAAAGGGCAGGACTGGCCTTGGGTCTTCCCGCTACTGCAGTGTCTCTGGCCAGGAAGGGGCCCGATGGCGGCAGGTGGGGCAGGACTCAGGCAGCGAAGCCGATCTCAGAGCCCCGATCTCCATACGATGGTCAGGAGAGAAAAACAAGGTCTCGGGTGCGGGGGGAAGAGCGGACCCCTCTGCCACTGTTATTAATTCAGTGCCTCTGGGCCTCAAACTGCTCCTGCCTGGGTCCCTGAAAGCTGGGAGAGGCACCCAATGGTGCAGGGAGCTGGCTGCCAGCGCCTCCCTGCCCTCGTCTTCCCCAGGGGACTGCAGGCAACCTCACTGGGGCTGCTGTGGGTGCGTCCCAGCAGAGCCTGGGTGGAGAGCCACTCCGCAGGGACCTGTCCTGGGCACCTGGCTCTGGCCCTGGTGTGCTGGGTGCATGGCCACGGTCAGCGGCTTTCACCTTTAATTTGGAAGCACAGAGGCCTGTAGGGTGTCTGGGTGCTGTGCCAAGAGCACCCGTGGCCCAGGGCTTCCCTATTTCAAATGTGCCTCAGGTTGCCCTCACCGGAGTTGCTCAGTGGTCAGAGCGCCGGCCCAGTCAAGGGCACATACCTGGGTTGCAGGTTTGATGCCAGGCCCTGGTTGGGGCACGTGTGGGAGGCAACCAATCGAGGTAATCAAATGTCTCTCTCGTGTCGATGTCTCTCCCTTCCACTCTCTCTAAAAATCAATGGAAAAAATATCCTCAGGTGAGTATTTTGAAACGTGCCTCAGGAAGTGGCAGGGGAAGCAATGGGGGACAGAATCACAGGGGGACGGGTCAGCCCGCAGCTCCCCACGCCCACCCTAAAGGAGAGTCTGGGGAAATGGCACACAGACACCTCCGGAGAGGCAGCCAGGGACGAGCTGCTCCGTGCCGGGCAGGGGCCGGCTCCGGCCCTGGGAGGCCCTCAGGGCGACAGGTCCAACGGCAGCGGGTGTTTACTGAGCACCTATACGGGCAGGCACCTGGCAATTTTCTCTGACCTCCCCAGCGTGCCTACCTGGTGACTAGCTGTTACTCTTTTTTACTGATGAAAACGCCCGAGGCTCCGGGACAACCAGTAACTCCCCGAGGTCAGGCAGCTGCTGGGACGCTCAGAGCCTACGTGCTGCCCACGGTCCACCTGCTGGGAGAGCCCAGGACGCACCCAGCCCAGGTCTGAGCCAGCGACCTGCCCGAGCCGGGCGGCATTGTCACTGTGCTCTGAACGGGACCAGTGTGGCCCTGGGCCCGGCAGAACCAGCGCCGTAGAAAGGCCTGGTGCACAGAGCTTGGGGAGTTAACACCAGGACGCCCAGAAAGATGGCCCTCAACTTCAAGGCCCACCACACCCTCATTTCATAGCAACAGTGTCTTTAGTCTCGACCCAGTGACTCACGTCTGGGGGGCAGTTTGCACTTGAACGCTATAGAGGTGACGCAGGACGAGAGCTCTGCAGTCCCTCTGTGGCCCTTTCCCTTCCCGCTGGCCGCCCCAGCGCAAGAACAGGGCCTCTCAAAGGACCCAGCCCATCTGGCAATGATTTCCCTGAGCCAGGGCCTAGTTGACCATCACACCCAAACACGCCTGGCCCTCCCACCCACGACACACGGGGAAGAACTGGGAGGAAGGAAGTGCAGTGAACGGTCCAGCCTCATCAAAGGGCGGTCCAGCCTCATCAAGGGGCGCTGGCGGCAGAGACAGGCCCCACCCACCCGGCTTCTGAAAAGCACTTGCTCGCAGGAGGGAAAGAGGCTCAGAAAATATTTCCAGAGTAATATAAGAAAATGGGGAAGAGCCCCCCAAAAGATGAATATATTCCTGTCCATCATGGCTGATCACCAAGTAACCAATGCCCACCTGTGCACTCAGGTGTGTTCCCAGGTGGTGCACACAGGTGTGTTCCCAGGTGGTGCACTCAGGTGTGTTCCCAGGTGTGTGCTCAGGAATACACTCACAGTTGTGTAGCCAGATGTGTGCTCACAGGTGTGTTAAGGACCAGCCAAAGAGAGGCACTCCTTCCAAGTGCCAAGCCCCGGGCTACTGAAAAGGTGTCGAGGGATCTTTTCTCTGTGCACCGCCTCTAGGGATCTTATGTTCTGCTGGTTGACAGTTTGCTTAAAAAGCAACTTTTTGTTTTGAAGGAGCTGGCGGGCACTCCCTGCAAACCTCCCATGGAGAAAATGGAAACCTCGCCTCCAGGAGCCGGCATCAGGGTTACTCAGCACCAGCCAGGGCTGCCGGTGCCGACAGAGGTGGACAGAGGTGGACAGAGGTGGACCGGGGGCTCTCACGGAGTCCTCCCAGGTGGGGCAGCTGGCAGGGGGCAGGGACGGGAGCAGAGGGAGGGGAGGCCTGTGCACTTCCAGGGCATCGGGGGATCAGAGGCAGAAAGAGGGAGAAGATGAGGGGGGTGTGGCCAGGTAAGGCTGCTCTCAGGTGAGTCAGTCAAACCTCGGTTCTCGACCAAGTTGTTTGTGGAAAAAATGTCCAGATTCTCTACCAGACAACCCTTTCCAGCTGACACATCAACGGGACAAAAAGTGTCTCTCAGGCCACAAACAAAGGAGAGAATTCGCGAGTGAGTCAGCTTCCAGCTAACCCTCCCCTGGTGAACACATCGGGGAATTGTGCTGCGAATATTTTTTGTTGTTGCTGGGGAAATGGATGATTAGCACAGTTTTAAAACATAAAGAGGCCATCAAGAGTGCTAATGTTGCTAAGGGTGTGAAGGAAACAATGACCACAGGCAGTTGAGGAGGTAGGTGTGATAAGGGAAGAGCCGTTAGCATTTCCGAGGCAGTGAGAGGTGAAAGACACCCCTGGGACAAGTGCTGAAAGTGATTCCTTTACACCCTTAGCNNNNGACGACGACGACTCAACAAATTTAGGAAAAGGAGTGTTTGCTTATAGACTAAACAACATTAGACGTGCACTGTAAGTAGGAAAGGTTAAAACAGAATCCTTCAGGGTCTGGAACGAATGAATTCAATTTATATTATTTCTAAGGGGGCAAGAAATGATTCCGTTTTTGCACAAATCTCTTCTCGCACGGCCTTCCAGGAAGAATTAAGTTCAAGAACCGAGGTTCCACTGCGTTTCCATGTCCGAGGGAGAAAGTCTGAAATGCCCTCTCCTGCCACCGGGCCAACATTCTAGAGACCGCGGCCCCGCCCCAGCACCGCCCAGGAGCCAGGGCACCGGGCCGCCCGGGTGGGTCCCACCGAGTTCCCCAGCGACGCTGAGATGCAGGGATTGGGAAGCCGGGTCACAGATGAGAGCCGGGCAGGGAGCGGCGTCCCGGACGGAGAGGTGGCTGAAAACACCATCAGGAATTCGAACCTGCCTCGCCCACATGCAGGCCCTGCTCTCCATTCCTTTAAAAGGCAGGAATTCCAAACCCGACCCACCACTTTTACGTGAAATTAGACATTAATTTCGGAAAGGAATTTGCCTGAATGTTTTCTCTGCAATTCACAGGCACACACACAAACACACGGGCCGTTTCTTAGAGACGACTCAGCGCCTGGTTTTCCTCCCTTGCTCGGTGGCTCCTTGCCCCAGACAGGGTCCTGTGCTTTGTGGCTGCTGGGTGGATGGTGGCAGTTTTACGTCCCTTCCCTGGGCTGAAGCAGGGGCCCTGGGCTGTGCATTTCTGCCTCGTTACTAGCTCACCCCGGCCCGTTCCCTGCGCACTGCTCAGCTTACACCTCTAGTGCCCACAGCCCGGGGATAGGAGCTCCCTGAGGGAAGGCCCCACCATGGGACAGGCCACCCCTCTGGACATGACCCACCGACCACTGCCGGTCACTGCTGCCCCACGTGGACACTCTCCAGCAGGCCCTCCAGGCAACTCACTCACTTGGCCACCAAGCTAAACCATTCAGTGCGTCGAGATGTCCCCACATGTGGAGGCAACGGGCGGTAACGGTCTCCACAAGTCCCCATGGCCATGGAGGGTTCCCACAGCCTCAGCCCTCCCAGCAGAAGTGTCCGGGACAGAAAAACGACTCCGTATCTGCCTCTGCGTCCAGTGCCGCGTGGACACAGCTCCACAGCCCCCAACTCCACCTGACACTGGGGGAGCGGGGTCAGGAACCCACAGGGAATAAAATGTGCAGAAGGAAGGGGTCTACCTTAGACCTGGTGGGTTCAGGACAGAGAGCCAAACGCCGAGGACTGTGCACTAAATGGAGTGAATTTTACGGCATGTAAATCCACCTGGATTTAAAAATGATCCTGGTATCAAGACAGAAATGAGACTCACAGCAGAACGAGCCCCCCGGCCTGGGCTGTCTCCACCCCCCCCTTCTTCCAGGACCTTCCCACACTCCATGGGCAGCCCTGTAGCTCTGGTCCTGCCTCCTCAGGATGCCTGGCTCGGTCCCTTGCGCCTCCCTGTGGCATAACTTTGCTGGTCTTTTCCATTAGCGATTTAGCTGCGTGTCTTCACCCTCCCGCTAGACTTTCTGGCGTAATCCATCTGGGCTTGAATCCTGGCTTGACCATCACAGCTGTGTGACCTTGGCTGAGTTACCGGACCTCTCTGTGCCTGACGTTCTTTATCTGTAGAGAAGTTGCCTGGCCAGGGATTGTTCCCTGAGGGCTGGCTGGGATCACTGTGTCCATCCAGGGACACAGGGGCTGCAGAACAGGAGTGTCCCCTCGTGTCCAACTAACTGAGTACACAGCGGACCTTATTCTTGGGGAATACTCGGAGGAATGGATTTTTTTAAGTCATCGGCATGACTCAAAACCGCTGAGGCCCAAGGCAACGTGCAGTCTCTGTCTGTCCTAGCCACTTGCACGTCCGTCTGCAGCTGCAGCTCCACGGCCGCTACCAGGTCTGCTTTTACTTTATTGAGTCCGCCCCGGAGCTAATTAAAGACTCCCCTGCATTTGTGTCGAATTACTTCCCGTTGCAGAGAAAACCCAGGGCTCACAGCTGCCAGCACGCGGGCTTTTGAGAATATCCCGGGGTGACCGGCACGGTACAGGGTTAGCGGAAACTGCCCTTCGCCTCTTTTTTTTTTTCAGTAGGAAAAGCCAAAGATGGTGATGGCCCACCGAGTCCCCAAGGGCGCGGAGTGTGGCCTGCACCTCCGGACAAACTCCACCGCTCTCCCGGCGGAGCTCCAGCCGTGCCTCCCGCAGCACACAGC